CCTCCTCCAGCCACCCCTCCTCCTGCAACCCCACCTCCCGCCACCCCTCCTTCAGCAACCCCACCATCATCCCCACCAAGCCAACCACCAGCCACACCTCCTACATCTCCGGCACCGACCTCCTCTCCGACTCCGCCACCAAAGGAGGGTCCAGCCTCATCTCCGTCTCCATCCACCGCCTCTCCACCCTCACCACCAACGGAAGGAAACGTCCCCTCCGGCGCGCCTGGACCCAACGCTCCGCCACCCCCAGAAGATAATGGTGCAGTCTCCATCAGCCGGGTCGCGATGGTTGGCAGTGCTGTGAGCGGCGTTTTGTTGGCAATGGTGTTCGCTTAGAGACGGATTTGTTAAGGGAATCAGGAGGAATGGTTCAGATCCATTTTGGTGTTTGTTCAATATTTCTGTAGCGTTTTTTATTATTTGTAACATCTTTCCATTTGTGCATGTTTGTGCGTTGGAGTTTTATTATTATTGTTTCTTTTGGTCATTCATTATTTATAAATGTTTGGGACACAATTATTGTCGTGTACATCGGATTATGAATAAAATTACATTTCCATTCTTCACCCTTTCTAATATTTCCCATCACTTCCAATAGTATTTTCACGTCCAACAAAAATCTTTTATGAAAAATTTTCACAATAATATTATTAAAATCATTCTTATTTAAATATGGTATCGATTAATTCATGTATTTAGTATTTCTCATTTACCTTCAAGAACAAGTTACGATGAATTTAACTCGAGGCTTTGCAACTTGTTCTTGAAGGTAAATGAAGAACAGAACAGCACTTGTGTTGTTTGTAGAACTTTGGATGGGCAAATGGGTTGGAGTTGAATAGTTTTGGGCTGAATCATTGGACCTTAGCCCTTTGAGATTAGACTTTTTGGGTCATAGTTAGTCATTTGAATTGGTAGTCTCCAACTCAAACTTGAGGGGTGGGCTTCACCTTTTCTACCTCGTTTTAAAACTATTCAATTGCTTGGTTCGAACCGACGTCGATCTCGAGTTTCTTGTCTATCACTTTGTCAAGTTGTCTCTTAATCTGCCTCATTTCGATATAATGTATTGAATTAGTAGATGAGTAGTAATATTTGCCCCAAATTAAAAATTCCCGATTTAACAAAAAGAAAATATCCAAAATAAATGTGCATAAATGGGGTTTACAACGAATATATGTTTTCCAAAAGGTGTAATACCCACAAATATTAAAATAAACAATAAAATCTGAAGAGTCGTGACAAAAAGGAAAAGTCAATTATTTGAAAATATGAACATTTTTGCAAATAGGGAAAATGACTTTTAAAAAAAAAAAAAAATTATTGACCAAACATTATTTTCCACGTATCTTTGTTTTTAATGGGAAAACAAAATTGGTTTTGTGTTCCATGTGTTAAGTAATTTTGGAGACTTAAATGGCGCACAGTGGTGTGTGGCTCCAATAAACAAAGGAAAGGAGTCAACAAAATTATTTGTTATTTGTTATTTGTTATAAATATTATTTCAATTATTTAACCCTTGCCAGTCACGTCTATAAATAAATATTAAGTATTTATTTCAATTTTTTTTTTTAAGTTGCTAAGTATTTATAAGTATTTTATTTTAAATTGGAGAGAAATCTATCTGTGTGTTAAGAATATTTAGTATTAAATTATAGTTTACTATTATATATATATCATATTTAATATTTTATTATACGCAAATATCTAGATATTTGTCTTCTTAGTATATATGTGTTTTTCCGTATTGTTCTTATCATTTATTACTATTTTCATATCGTTGTAATTTATTTGATTATAAATAAGATAACTTTCCCACCATTTAGGCGTGGGTGTGGTGGATTAAACAAACATTTTCAACTAAAATATTAGATGAAAAATCAATCAATTTAGCCATAACCTTAAAAGGACGTGGTGGAGCCTCCTACTCACTTAACACTTAGTTTGACAAACAATATGGATAAGGAATCACTGCAAGGGTAGTAAGATTTGAATTATCTTGTTGATTAAATATCACAAATCAATAACTTTTGTTTGAGATTTGAATCTCTCCATAAACAAAATTGATCCTATCGAGCTTAAATCATTCTACATGCAACCTAGACTATATACAATTGTAATGAAACTTAGTCAGTGGTTGAAAGCACAAATACTTATTTTACTACCTTTACCAAGTCTATTTTACAAAGATAACTTTATATAGCGTCAAAGTGAAAACTCTTAACTTTCCATGAAGCTTTTCAAGAGTTATAATTTTCATATTTTATCCTTGTAATTAAACCACTTTGAATACTTTACGGTCATAATTAACTATTATATAAATAAGTCTTAAAATATATTAAAAAAAACGCAATTACTCTAGAGTGTAATCATCATGAATTTGTAACCATCTAAGAATAATGAAGCGCTACTTGAAATATCTCGAAGTTTTGTTACATAAATGAAGATTGATTATGATTAATGTGATATTAATATTGCATGATTGAGATAACTTTTAATTCATATTACATGTCTTCTTTTGGGTAGTTGTCATTTCTTCTCAATTTAACTTCGAGAAGTCAAGTGGTCATCCGATTTGTCGGTCGGAATGAGTTTGCGAGGGTCCAAGCCAATGAAATTTGGAACCAATTTTGAAATCGAGATATAAATTGGTAGACATTTCATTGATGAATACACTTAGCCGTTTATCTTTTGAAAAATATAAAATCACGAACAACACGAGTACAAATTTGAAGTTATGACGCCACTTTATTATTAAACTATGCTTTATTGTTATTTACAATTAATTTTATATTTTTGTATTTGAAATTTTAAACATTCTCTTTGCTCATTGCATTAAAAGAATATTAGTTAATTAATTATCATTTACATTCTGGTATTTGCTTGATTTCAGTTTTTCAATCTAGGCCACATAATTTATTTAAATTTCAAAAATTATTTTTTAGCGTACAAATAAGAGACAAATGACGACTTCACATCCACAGAAAATGTGTTAAATAAAAAATAAAAAAATTAAAAAAACTGTCAACATTATTTATTTTGTAATAAACCATCGGAATTAATTTTTCATTGTTAACCTTTTTAAATGTAAATTTTAATTAAAAAATTTGGTGCCTTTGTAAAAGTAGTAGTTTAAAGATGGTATCTAATGAAGGAAAGTATGTGGCCTTTAAAATTTTGTTAAATAAAGACCATATTTGTTTTTTTTATGCAAAATTTGGAGAATAAAGCAAAGTATGAGGTACAAGGAAAAAAAAAACTTTAATTATTTGTGGTCCTTCAAATTTAAAAATGGCATGTATTTAATCATGTTGATGGAATAAATTATATTACAATTGAACTTTTCACTTTATCTATTTATAGTATTAATATTATCATGTTCAAAAAAGTTTAAAAAAATATTTGTAAACGTTAGGAATTTGATGAAAACTGATGATAATAATTTGTTTAAAAAAAATACTCTTGAACTTTTAAAATAGTTTAAAACATAAACTCGAGTTTTCAAAAGTTTTATTACAAAAGAAAAACCTTTAATGATATTGTTAAAAACTTAAAAAAAAAGGTTTATAAATAATCTATGAAGCATATATAAATGAGTTTCGTCAATATATTAACGATAAATATTTTTTTTATGAAGTTGAAGATGTTAATGATACTTTTCCGATTTTATGAATATTTTAAAATATGGTAATAAAGAAAAGAAAAAAGAAAAAAAAAAGTTTAAGGGTATTGAAGGATATTTTTTAAAGTAGTTAATTTTTTTTTTTAAGTGGAAGGATATTATTAAAAAGTTTTAATGTTTAAAAATATGTTTTAAAATAAAATATGTGTTTTTATTAATTTAGGTTAAATAATATTAAAATAAAAAATATATTAATTCAATGGAGAAAGGAAGAGAAAGAGAAACAAAAGTTGAGAACTAGAGGTTCCGATAATATTTGGGAGTGTATTTCCGCCGAAAATACACGCAGCCTCTTCAGCCGTCATGGTTGCGGCGTCACCATTCACGGGCTCGCTAATCTAACATACCCACCGCCTCTTTCTGTTCTTTATTTATTCATTCATTCCCCTTCCCATCTCTCTCTCTCATTGTCGAAGGGATCAGCGGCTGATTCGAAAAATGTCCACACATCCCGCAGCACAGGAACCCAACGTACCCCTTCTGCAATCCAAGTCTCTAATTCAGGAAGAAGATGACGCACCCCTTTCAACCAGGATTCGGGTCGAGTCTAGAAAGCTCTGGCACATCGTCGGTCCGGCAGTCTTCAGCCGTGTCGCCTCCTACTCCATGCTGGTCATAACCCAAGCCTTCGCTGGCCATTTGGGCGACCTCGAACTCGCTGCAATGTCCATCGCTAATAATGTCATCGTCGGCTTTGATTTTGGTCTCTTGGTAATTTCGTCGAACACCTTCCCTGCATTCCAACATAACCCCCATGGAACAGTTCTTATTTAATTTAATTTAATTTAATTTAACTTTTTTCAGTTGGGGATGGCTAGCGCTTTAGAGACGCTGTGTGGGCAAGCTTATGGGGCGAAGAAATTCCACATGTTGGGGATTTACATGCAGCGGTCGTGGATAGTTCTGTTCATTTGTTGTATTTTCCTTTTGCCGATTTATCTATTCGCAACCCCTGCGTTGAAGCTTCTGGGTCAGCCGGCGGATTTGGCAGAGCTAGCAGGGAAAGTGGCGGTGCTGTTGGTGCCTTTGCACTTCAGCTTTGCGTTTCAGTTTCCATTACAGAGGTTCTTGCAGAGCCAGCTGAAGACGGCAGTGATTGCTTATGTTTCGTTGGTGGCGCTGTTGGTGCACATTTTGGTGAGCTGGTGGTTTGTTTCTGGGCTTAAGCTTGGGCTATTTGGAACCGCCATTACCATCAACATTTCGTGGTGGGTTTTGGTGTTTGGGCTTCTGATTTACACCGTCTCCGGCGGCTGTCCTCACACCTGGACTGGCTTCTCCATTGAAACTTTCTCTGGGCTTTGGGATTTCGTCAAGTTGTCTGCTGCATCTGGCCTCATGCTCTGGTTTTTACTCATTTTTTTGTTCCTATTCATTCATTGATACCCAGTACTGACATATTTTGATATCGAGTTTGGTTTGGGTTATGGAAATGAAATGTTCTTGTTATGCAGTTTGGAGAATTGGTACTACAGAATACTGATAGTGATGACTGGGAATCTGGATAATGCTAAAATTGCGGTGGATGCCCTTTCTGTGTGGTATGAAATCAATTCTCTTTTATTAAAAAAATTCCATGTTCTCTGTCGGACAAAATAAAATTTGTAATTTTTTTAAAAAGAGCCTCCATTTTTGGTTGATTTACATTTTCTTTTGTTAATATTAAATTAATGCCTGGAGATGTGGTGTGGAACATATCATTTTGGGATTTTATGTGTGGCCATTATCTTTTTAGTTCTTCATTTATTTTTATTTTTCAATAATGCATTTACCTAATAAATAAATAATTGGTGTTTTATTTATTTACGTTTATAAGCATAATTTTGTTTTTTTTTTGTTTTTTTTTTTTTTTAATGACAGTACATAAACCTAACATTTAAAAATAATAATAATAATAATAAATAAATAAGTTACGTTTTGAATTTGTTCACGGTCTCTGTTCTGTCCATTTTTGTTTATTAATCTAATCATCGACCGTTGTGAATGAACAGCATGACAATCAACGGCTGGGAAATGATGATCCCCTTGGCCTTTTTTGCCGGTTCCGGGTAAGCCTTTTACTATTTTGCCCCTTCAACTCTTAACATTTTCCCTTAGTACCCACGTTTGGTTTGGTATTTTATTGGTAGAGGTTGTGTGATCGCACGTGCCAAAAGTGCATCCTTCCAAACCCACATGCTTTTTCATGTTCATAATTTTCTTCGGGACCAAACCAAATTCTTCGGCCCATTTAATCTTTCTTTGTTTTATTTATTAATTTTGTTATTTTAAACCAAAAAGGTTAGGTTTTTTTTTTAATTGTAATAAAAATTGAGTGAGCAGCTTTGTTCTTACAAAAATTGTAAATATAATAATTTATTTGAAAAATAGACTGCGACGATCAGTAATCAATGTGTTTGTCGTTATGGTGATTTTTCCTTTTCAGTAGGGAGAAATTTTAGCAGTGTATTATTTTTTTTCTGCCTTCATTTCTTTGAAAAGATTCCTTTACATGTCGTGCCATTCTAATCTTGTGTATAAATTATTAAATTGTGCGTTTGGTTTATGAATATTTGATGAGTATAGAGTGAGAGTAGCAAATGAGCTGGGTGCTGGAAATGGGAAAGGAGCGAAATTTGCAACGAAGGTGGCGGTGGGGACGTCGGTGGTAATTGGGGTGTTTTTCTGGATAATCATAATGACATTCGACACTCAAATCTCGTTGATATTCAGTTCTAGTGAAGTAGTGCTGAAGGAAGTGAAGAAACTGTCAATCCTGTTGGCCTTCACCATCTTACTCAACAGCGTTCAGCCTGTTCTTTCCGGTATGCTTTCATCATTCGTATTCCTAATGAATCAAAGTGGGTAGTAAATTTATTGGAATTTGTTTGTGTTGGATGTGGATGATTTTGATTTGATAGGCGTGGCAGTTGGGTCCGGGTGGCAATCATATGTTGCGTATGTGAATTTAGGCTGCTATTACTTAATTGGACTGCCTCTGGGGCTGTTGATGGGTTGGGGCTTCAAACAAGGAGTCATGGTATTCTCTCTTTTTTTCCTTTGTTCTTCTTCGATGTGTTTGTAACTTATTGGAAGAATGAAACTCGATCAGGGGATTTGGGGAGGAATGATATTCGGTGGAACTGCGATCCAAACGATGATATTGTGCATTATAACCATTCGATGTGATTGGGATAAAGAGGTACGCCTTGTTGCATTGCATTGCATTGTTAATAATAATAATGATGATGATGGTTAATACAATTTTCAGGCAGAGAAAGCAAGGTTGCAGATTAGGGAGTGGGGAGAAGACACTGGAGATCAGCACTGACTTATATTGTATTTTGTCTCTAAATCCTCCTTTTGTTTTTCTCAAATGGAAATCATCATCTTATTATGTAATCTGATGAACAATTGTCCAATAACCAAATGTCATCTTATTTCTCAAAATGTTTCCTCTTTTCCATCAAACCAGTATCTAAGGAGTCTAAGGCCCATGCTAAAAGCCCACCACCCCATTACAGCTTTTTGGATATATAAAGCTCTATTGTATTATTTCTTTTTATAAATGCACTCCACCCCGTTCACGCACTCAATTCCATTCACGGCTAGTAGGTATTGTCTGTTTTGCTCTCTTCCCTTATGCATATCGTCAGTCTCACAGTGTTAAAATGGGAAAGATTTCTACACTGATTAAAAATGATTTGTTCTCTTCTCCCACTGATGAGATCCGGTAGAATATCTTATTTGGAAAAATTGTTCACATATATTAACTTTTAAATTGTCTTGTACTTGTGGGAAAAAATCACTTTTTGTTTTCAAAAATCATATTAACTTTAATAAATTACTATTAAATTAACATGAAGTTTTTCTAAATAAAATAAAATAAGGTATCGAATTGTTCAGTTATGCACACATATCAACATCTACGTGCCAATTCATGAATTGTATCACGACACACAAATTCATTTATGGTCAAAACTAATTAATGGTGAGATATTACATAAATGCAATAACTAAAAAAAGAAAAATGCAAATATCCAACTTAATATAAGACCAAATATTAATTACATAATTTATTTAAATATAGAACTATAAATCTATAATACACATATTTCAACATAGAAATAGGAATTCCCACCTTATATAAAATTAAAGTGAGAAATATTTTAAAGTATAAATTTTATAAAAAGAGTTAAAAATAGAAAAGGGATATTATTGGTGAAAAAGAAAAGAAACAAAAATGTGAAGGCTATAACCAAGCCGAGCCGAGCCGTTCACATTTAGTTTTCTATTATTATTGATGAATAATAAGAAAAGAAAATAAAAAAGCAGTAGAGAAGGAATATGCATTTGCATTTGGATGGCAATTTAGAGTTCATTTCATTTGGGAATTGGGGAAGGCCAACTCCAGCATGACCTAACCCCAGTCAGATTGTAACCCAAGCTTGATTTATTTAAAGAGAGAGAAAATGTGAAGGCTGCCTGGGTTGTGAAAGCTGCTTCCCTAACCTCCTTCCCATTTCCTTCTCTTTCCCTCTCTGGTTTTGCATTGCTTTCTAGATGACCCTTTTTCCTCGGTCAAATAATCTTTGCTCTTGTTGCTTAATTTGAGTGCTCTTCCTCTGGGCTCTTGTTGTTTTGGAGTGGGAATCCTAAATGGGTTCTGATGGAGGAGAAATGTTGAAGAATGGTGATGATTCAGGGAAGGAGAACTGTTTGTCCAGTAATTATGAACAGCATTGTACAACTCCTCCTCCTTTTTCTTTCACCGCTTTGATCCGCACACTTTAACAAACAAAGAACAACAACAATCATAATCTGGAACAAAAATCAACCCATCTCATCATCATCTGATCTTCTAAGTTTTCTGTTACTCTACCGTGTGTGTGTTTAATTTTGTGGCGATTCCCAATCATGAAGAGGCCTGCAGATTCCATGGGTGCGCTCATGTCCATTTCCCCAACTGCAGGTTCTACTTTGCTGCTCTGCTTCTTTTTCTAAAAGCAAAATTATAACCATTATCTGAATTCCCCCTTCCTTTTCTGCTTCTACTTGTAATTTTTACACATACCCGTGTGCCTTTCCTTTTCTCTGCCTCCTCCAACTTTGTTCTCTGTTGATCAATCAATCAATCGCTCTCTTTTCCTTTCTGGGATTTGATGGATTCGATCAATTTTTTACTGATTGTCTTCCAACTCTGTGTACAGATCAAGAACAGAGTCCGAGAAACAACGGTGTGAATGGCACGGAATTCCAGTCGATGCTGGATGGATTTGGTGAAGAAGGTTACGTTGAAGAATTGGGACATGTTTCTGAGAAGAAGAGGCGGCTGAGTGTGGAGCAAGTTAAGGCTCTAGAGAAGAATTTCGAAGTTGAAAACAAGCTCGAACCAGAGAGGAAAGTGAAGCTGGCTCGAGAACTTGGGTTACAGTCCCGACAAGTGGCTGTTTGGTTCCAAAATCGTCGAGCCAGATGGAAAACCAAGCAATTGGAAAGAGATTATGGCGTTCTTAAAACCAATTACCAGAATCTCAAACTCACTTATGAAACTCTCCAACACGACAATCAAGCTCTCCTTAAAGAGGTACGATAATTACAATTTAAGAATACAAAACCCATCCTCTGTTTTTTTTCTTTTTTCCAAGGATCAGAAATGTGATGGCTGTAAATTTGAATTTGCAGATTCAGGAACTGAAAAAGAAGCTTCAAGAAGATAACTCACAGAGCAATCTTTCGGTGGAGGAAGAGATGACGGTGCCGGCCGATTCTGAGAATGCTCTGATTGAACAAATGAAGCCGGAAATTACCGATCAGTTCTCTGTTCCACTGGCGACAGAGTCCCAAGACTTCAATTACGAGAGCCTCCACAACAATGGCGGAGAAGGGGAAGAAGTCTCATTGTTCCCCGATTTCAAAGATGGGTCATCCGATAGCGATTCGAGCGCAATTTTGAACGAAGATTACGGTCCAACGGTGGCCATTTCTTCGTCGGTGGTTCTGCAACACAACCACCAACACTTCATGACGGGGGCAGCATCTCCGTCTCCTTCCCCCGACGTGAAACTGAACTGCGCGACGACGGCGCTGAATTACTTGCAATATCAAAAGGGGTATCAACAACAAACACAGATGTTTCCGAAAATGGAGGAGCATAATTTCTTCAGTGGAGAGGAGACTTGTAACTTCTTTTCCGATGAGCAAGCTCCGACTCTGCACTGGTGGAGCTAATTCCATGGCGGCATCAAAATTTGAAAATCAATGGGATGAAGAAGATGACGATCGCGGATGGAGAAATTCAGGTGGGGATTCTCAATTAAAAAATAATTCGGGCTAATTTTTACTTTTTTATCCAGTTCGTGAGGGAAAATGATGATGAGATCGCAATTGAAATCTACGTTGTAAAAATTAAAACAAAAAATAAAATTATCCGATAGCTTATCATAACAATATTTAGCTAACTATATAAATTCCTGTGAATTTTATTAATTATAAACAATATAAAAATTTATAGATGTAATTAATTTATAATTTAACCCCTCATCAATTTTCAAATTATTTAAAATTCTCCAATATTACCTCTACTATTAGTTATACTTTCTCAAGAAAAAAAAAAAAAATAGTTGTTTTATTCGAATCCTAAATTCTTCAAAATAATTGTTATTGTCAAATATATTTAAATTTTTTGTTGCATTGAACAAAATGTTTAAGCAATATTTCTAAATTTGTAAAGAAAAAAAGGGCACGAATCATTTATGATATTTAAAACACAAGAGAACCAATTACTAAGTATAATGTCTATTAATATAATAGGGAAAACAAATAAAAAAGAATAAAACTTATTAAGAAAAATGCTTTTAAGTATATAATAAGATAACGGACAGAAAAAAAATATGAAAGTGATACGACTATCATGCAAAGACTGTAATTTTTAATATAATTTTAATTCATTTTCATGTTAAATTAAAAATCAAAGAATACTTTATCAAGTTGAATCAATATAATATCAAATTTTGGAGTAAAATATTTTAGGGGGTCTAAGACAAAGAACCTATTAAATGTTAGTACGTTCGTCTCCCATTTTCACAAGTTGTGACTTTTTTAACTGTGGGTGCCGTTAGAAAGTTTCCAAAGACTCTCTAATCACAGAGATGATGAGAATTATGAATTAGAACGGATGCTAGCGGTGTATGAAAATGAGGAAAGGAGGTAGGAGAAGAATGAACCTAAAGTAGGTTGAAGTGGAAGAAGAAAGCATAAGAGCAAAATTGAGGTAGGAACAAAGAACTTGTGGGTTTTAGTGGTATGACCGCAAGTTCATCTTAGGTGGACCGAAGAAAAAAGAAAGGTGGCGTTGTTTTTATTCCTTCCCTCCCTTTCTCTTTACATACACACAAGCAAAGCCACTTTTTTGTCCTTTCTTTCTTTTCTTTTTTCTTTTTTCTTTTTATATTTATATTTACATATAAAACCAACCAATAAGCTTAATCAAATTACAGGCTACACCCACTAAAATAGGATCACATTCACTCAATTCTATTTTATAAAATCTATCAAATATTTTTAGAATTTAAAATTTAAATGATACAAACAATAGCATATTAAAAACAAAAAAAGAGGGGGGAATGCACATGGGCGCCTCGTGTCTCATATTCTGCGGTTGCAGCTTACTGATTCTGCGTACGTATTCTCTGACCTCCATTATGTACACGTGTACGGTGGATGGGACCACTCTGCCTGCCTCTTCAAAACACGAAATTTTACTCCTGCCCTTTCTTGATTTCCCTTTTTTTTTTTTTTTTTTTTTTTTTTTTTTTTTTTTTTTTTTTTTTTATGGGGTTAGTCAGTTTCCATTTAATTTTAAAAATTTAATCAATGTCTATTTACTTTGTTAAATGTTGTAACCAATCATTAATCATTATTAAATTACCATTTAATTGGATACAGAAAAAATTGATTAATTAAGTTGAAGGTTAAGGAATATGAATGTGGTATTTATAATTTTTAAAAAATAATTTTAGAGAGAGAATTCAAAATTGGTGTGAATGTTTGCACCTCAGACTGGAAGCAGTGTCGGGATAGGGAAACAGAGAGAGGTTTGGGAAATGCAACTTCACTTATTATTATTTTAAAACCCACTACCATATATATATATATATATATATATATATATTATATATAGCTGTGGGCCCCAAGGCAGCCATGTGAATGCGGGTCCCATGAACATGAAAGACAAACACGTCGCCGTCACCGTAGAGAGAGAGAGAGAAAAAAAAAAGAAAATAGGTTTTTATAACTCTAAATTATATGTTAAAAAAAAAAAAAAAAACACAGTACTCTTGTCATCTTTATTTTATTTTTCAATTTTAATATTTGTTTTATAAAAGGTGTAATAANGCATTTTATATACCTTTCAAAATTATTAACGAATTATTCAATATTTTTCAAAAATAAATAAATTTATTTAAAATTAAAAAAAAAAAAAAAAACTCAATAAGCACAATTATAAAAAAAAAGGCTTGAAATGAACGGATGGAGCATTGAAGTTGAGTTTTTCATTAATAAATAATATAGTGGGCTTTCTAAGAAGCCTTGTGATGGGCAATAAAGAAAATAAATAATATATATATTTGAAAAAAGAAAATTAATATTTTGATTATTTATTTCGAGAGCTTCCGGGAAGGAAGCAATGCCTTTGCCACCATCTTAACACTAACATGGAATAAATCTTTTATTATTATTATTATTAAAATAAAAGATTAATGTAGATTAATAATTATTTAGGGAGGAATATTTTAAAAAGTTTTTTAAAATTGAAGTCAAGATGTGTGTTCTTTTCCGTTTGGTTTGAGTTTGGATGTGGCAATTTTTGATTGGGTAAAATAAAAGTGGAAATTTTTCCATTTTTGTATTTGAAAAATGGTTTGATTCACCCACTCCTCCGAGAGGACAGTTGTTTCACATTGGCTTTATTTTAATGAACCACTCTCTCTCTCTCTCTCTCTCTCTCTCTCTCTCTCTTCATATAATTATTAATATATTAAAAAAATAAAACACATTTACATAAAAGAATCTTGTAGATGTTGGCTTACAAATGGGTGGTATGCTCCACGGTTGTCACACACAAACTATGTTGGGGTTCCTTAATCAATTTTCTTTCCCCCCCTTTTCCTTTCATATTCTTTCTTTTTCCCATTACTTTTCCTAACTTCTCTTTTTAAATCAATATATTTATCCACTTGCTTATAATTTCGATTAATATTCTCATGAAACTATATACTATACGTTGTTGCTATCTGTATAATATAAAGTTTGCATCTTTTTAGTAGTTGAGACATAAAATCATCCTGACTTGACTAGGTAGCCACTCAACTTGATATTTTGATGTTACACGATAAACTTCTGTAACCTAGGATTATCTATTAGTATAAAAATTATAGAAAGGAGAATTTTGTAATTGGCAGATTGATATAAGAGCTGAAACGGCTGTGCCGAGCCGAGCCGAAACAAGAAGGGCGTAGGGAAGCCATTTGTGAACTTTAATTAATTAATTAGAAATAGAATTAAAAATATAATATATATTTTAGGAGATGAATTAATTAATGAATGAATTAAATAGTGAGTAAAGAATTGTGAAATTTGTTGCATCCGCCAAAGGGATACGACACAGTGCCAAAGCTGAAATTTCAATGATCTGAAAGCGACTTTCCAGTCTCTTCCACATTTCGATTCAATACATACTTTTTTTTGTTTTTTTTTTTAATTTTTAATTTCTTTTAGGAATATTAAAAATCTAAACTGTCCATTTCAACTCTACAGAGTTCCCATAGTTTTTCCAAGGAAACTGTTATGGAAGACCCAACTTTAGTTGACCAATTACCACGATTTTTTTTTTCTTTTTTAATAATTAAATATATTTATTTGTTTATTTGTCATCTATCACTTTTTTTTTTTTTTTTTTTTTTACTTTGGAAGTCATTTTCAAATTAGGAAAAAATAATTATTTAAAGCTACTTATTTTTCTTTTTTAAAATTGGTAGGAATTTTTAGAAAGTAAGATAAGGAAATAATGAAGGGATAGATTTCTTTGGTTGAAAATGGATTATCTAATTAATTAGTCTATCATTATTTATTTTTTTATTTTACTATAATTACCAACCTAACCTATGTGGATAGACCAAGTACTAACCTGAATTGACTCAAGTGAATCGACCACGTAGGTTAACTAAGATAAAGATGAGTTGAAGCATATGAATTAAGTGAGACTATAGAGACCGATCCGCATGAGTTGGTTGAGGCTAATAAAGCTTAACCCAAGTGGGTTGATGTTAAGCCAACTTGTGTGGGACACGTTTAAAAAATTAGAGTCTAACACAACAATGAATAGTCTTGACTAATTTACAATCCAACTGTATAACCATTCTTTATCATTAAAACACTATGATAATCCCGACACAATTATATTGGTTCACTATAACCACGACAAATTAGTAGATAGAAGAGTGTGCCCAAAACGCTGACATTGTAAGCACCTAAATCCAATCATATGCTTTCTTTAAATTGAATTCCCTGTGTGTGTGTGTGAAAAGTTGACTTTTAATTTGAATGAAAGGTGACTTTAAGAGTGTGAATGAGAGAAAGTGGTTATTCGTGGGAGGAGGGGGCTAAACCCGTGACCAAACAATGAGTCTGCCTTTAAAATGTCAAGTCAATGTAGAATAATCTCATGGAGGTGGGCTCTTAGTTCTTGTCCTTGGACGACACTGTCGTTTTCACGGCTCCTTCCACACACTGAGTAAACTAATACGTTTACTTATAACCTATCATTTCGGTTTTACCTGGTTTTCACATCGGTCGAAAAATTTGTCTTATGTATGACGACGCGTGCGCAAGCGATCTTTGGCAAAGTATTTTGTTGGCTTGTGATGGAGCACTTCACTTCCTTGCATCGACACTGCCCCATGATTAGCCAAACTGCAGGAAGAGAGACCAACCAAAGTAACTTATATAACACACCTCAATGCGCCATTAACGCCTATTTCTGGGCTCAAAGCTTGTGTTGTTGCTGCTGAACATAACCGTAGGAGGGCATGGGTTAGTTGCAAGCAGATGAAGCTTTCACGTACACCTGTGGGTAGATGTTGATGGCTTCAAAAAAAAAACTTCAAATTTGGATAAGATTGGATTGTGAAATCTCCTACTTCATCAATTTACGAATCTCATCTTTCAAAGCCCATTATGGTGATGTGTTGTTGATATATGGGCTTCTCTATTCATTCATCACATCAACCTCTCATTCAGGCTTTCAATATTACTGGGGACCATCATAAAAGTTTGGACCGAAAAATTATTAAGATAGTTTGAACAAAATTTAAGATGATAAAATTATATTTATTTCATATTTAATCCTTTCCAACGATTTAGTCTCGTTTAGGTCACATTTGATTTGAACTTGAAGAGAAA